CACCTACTATGCCATGCTGACGCCGGAGCGTCGCTCCGAGATCCAGCAGGAGATCCGGGTGGGGCAAGCCGCGCGCACCGCCCGCATCGCTGCGAGGCTGCCTCCGTACTCGCCGGAGCCGGAGAAGGAGGAGGAGGAGCAGCCGGGGGAAGAGGAGGAGGACGAGATGGCTCCGATGGAGGTGGAGGAGCCAGACCAGCAGATGCCCGCCTTCAACTTGGAGCAGACGGAGGCGGAGTTGACCGTTGCCCAGTCCGACGAGATGGCGGAGCAGCAGGCCATCCTGAAGTCCATCCAGGATGAGGCCTATGTGGAGGACAACCGGGCGTTCCTCCGATGGAGCAGGAGTCCAACGCGCTCTTCGCTGAGCTCGACGCGGAGATAGAGGTGGAGGAGGCTGGAGCGGAGCAACCAAAGGCGCCGGAGGAGCGAGAGCTGCAGCTGCCGCCCATGCTGCCCGAGCTGGACACGAAGATCGCCGTGATCTCCAACGAGGAGTAGCTAGGATCGACGTAGTATGTAGGTTCTACTTCTTTTGCATGTCTTTGTATGGATATAAGAATCTAGTATGAGATGTACGAATGCAAGAAGTGAAATTTAAGGCATTGCCCGAGCACTGAACATAAAACGACTTTTGGACAAAGAGGAACAATTTTTAAAAAAACATGAACACATTTTAATACAATGAACAAAATTTCAAAATCCAAACATTTATTGAAAATTGTGAAGAGAATTAAAAATTCCGAACAATTATTTGAAAAATGTGAGGTATGTATTGAAAGTCCGAACAATTTTTTTGAAAATTTGTTTTTTTATTTTATGATAAAACAAGACTGGAAACAGAAAAACCAAAAAAGAAATAAGAAGAATCCAAAAAACCATAAGGAAAAAGGCGGTTCAGAACCTACCGGTAGGTTCCGAAACCGGTCGGGATCCTTCCAAAAGGTTCCCAAAACGGGGATCATCAGACTTTGAAAAAATACGGTAAATGGGCCGGCCCATGTACGAGCGGGTGTGCAGCAGGTGGACAGTTTTGTTGCGGAATGCGAAAAATAGGGTTTGCCTTGCTTTGCGAAATCACCAAGGCGCATTTTTCTTCCTTCATTCGCGTGGGCCACCCCTAAGGCCCAAACTACATATAGCTTTGTCTTTGTTACAGGACCAGCGGCCCGACCCATGTAGCTTTCTCTGCTCCTCAAGACAAGTGCAGACACCCCTCAATAGGACACAAGCGCAGACAAGATCACAAGTTGGTCTAAGAGCAAGTACAATAGTGGGCTATAAGCCCACTTACATGACACTTTTGTTTATGTGAAGGAGAGAGATATTGAAAAAGTGAAGGAGTGGGCCTTTATGCAAGAGCCCGCCTCTACGTGTGATCCTAGATAAAAATATTTAATGGGAGGAAGAGATAAAGAGAAAGTGAGAAAAAGTTGTTACCTTATGACCAACCTTATGGTCAGCACTATTATATCAGTAATTAAATGCTAACTTTGGATGACATAACATGCTTATATAGTCAGTTGCTCGCTATACTATTAACCATGCTCTAAGAGCAAGTACAGTAGCAGGTTTGTAGCCTGCTTACATGACAATTTTGTCTATGTAAAAGAGAGAAATATGATAACGTAAGTGAAGTGAGCTCTCATGCAAGTGCATAACTATACACGTGCTCCTAGATAGATGCAATAATATAAAAAAAAGATAGATAGAAGATAAAAAAAAAGTACTAATTTTATAATCGACCTTATAGCTAACCTTATTGTATGAGTGATTATAAATGATGGCTATAGATAATATGACAATATCATATAGCCACCATATGCATGTATTATTAACCATGCTCTAATGGCCGAACGCCTAGGACAGATGCGACGGGCAAAAACGCAGTCTGTCAGGAACGTTGCATTAATGGCTCTAATAAATGATCATATATTTGTGATACGTATGATCATAAATTCCTTTTCTCAATCGAATATGTGTGTACATGTGGAGAATCGTGAATTGAATGCTTGCCTCAAACAAAGAATCGAAATCCTGTTTGCACATTAACTTCCTCTAGCCCGTTCGCCTATAAATAGTGAGAGTAACTTAGGTAGTAACATAGCGCATTTCAAGAAAATTTTGCTTACGTGGCAAGTAGTTAATGAGAGGTGGTAACATAATATGTTACTGTAACATAGCGCTTTCCGAAACAAGATGAGTCTACAAGTTAATAAATGAAGCCATCCATGATACTACTATTATGTTACTTTGCATTATAAAGGTAGTAACTTAAACTAGTGTCATGTATATGACACTAGTCTAAGTTACTCCCCACTATGACCAGCCTTAACGAGATAAAACAACACAATTTGAAGGCGCTATATCTGCTCAGACATCAAGGCATACTACCAGATCAACATGGGGATCAAGCCAATAGTGATCCTCGTGGCCTGTTTGTTATTCGGCATCAGCAACAGAGGTATGGTGTCCAGTAGCGGAGGCAGGAATGTATATAATCGGATGTTGGGGAGGGCCGGCTGCAGGCAACAGTAAAAAATTGTCACTGTTCATATGCACAATACAAAGGAAATGAGAAAGTTGGGGAGGGCCCGGGCCCTGGCTGGCCACCCTCCTGCCTCCACCACTGATGGTGTCCGCCACCACCTTCGCCTCCACCACCCTCCTCCAGCCGGCCTAGCCGGTATCAGGAGAGGCGGAGAACCCGATCTATGAGTGGAGTTCTTAATTATAGTAGTGTTTTCATTAGATTGGATTAAGGTTTTGGTATTCATATTCTTTGTCATTTGAGATGGCATCATCTACAATAAGTAATCGTCGACCCTTTGTTCGATGACGATATCTTCCCATGTCAATGGTGATGTTGGAAGATTAAATTCGTTTCGTATGGTCCTCCAAATCTTGCTTCGCCAGATCGATTTTAGATTATTTTTTCTCATAGTTGCTATGAGGAGGTTTGTCCTCGCAATATCTATCATGTCTGCTACGTCCTCGACAACCTTCAAAAAAAAATGCTACGTCCTCGACAATGATGCTTTGTACTCTTGGCTCCAAGTGACATCGACCAGGTTGTTCGGTTGTTTTCCCTGGAATACTGGTGTTGGTACTCTTGCTAATGTTGGTTCATTACTTTAATGGTTGCGTGTGTTCATAGTGGCCTTGGTATTTACAGGTTTGCGGTTTGATATCTTTGTTATTTCCTACGGCTGCCTTCAGAGAAGTACAATATTGTGCCATGGAAGAAGAAATAGTTTGAAAATCTTGAAGATTTGCTTGTGTCTTTTAAACTTAATTTTGTAATCATTGTAGTCAGCTCATGTGGAGTGCGGCGTTTCAGTGCATAGTGCTCATCTGCACCAGGAAAGAAAAAATATCACAAAAATTAAAAAAATTCCAATTGTTTTTTTCATGGTAGAAAATTTATTTTGTGAGGTCCGCTCCCATTTTCAGGTCATTTGGACTTCTGAGTAGCTCTCAGCATTGGGTCAGAATAGTGGATGAACATTAACTTTTTTACAGATCCCGGATTTGTCTTTTTTTCCAACAGCTGCTCAGATGTCCAAATGATCTGAAAATTGGAGCAAACCTCACGCATCAAATTATCTACCATGCAAAAAAAGGAATTTTTGAATTTGTCTTTTTTTTAAATATTTTTCTTCAGTTTGGGCGCAGATGAGCCTGGGCTCAGAAGTGGATTATGGGCTCATGTATCTCTATCATGTACTATAAATATATCATGGTATTGATTATATAAAAAAGGCTCCCCGTCCGAGCCAACCCATTGGCGACATCATGTAGCGAGTGGTTATTTTTGTTTTCAGTAGTATGTTTTTTTCTATCTATATCAGTATTAAAAGACACAAAGGGCAGATCCAATTAATTTCGTTCATCAAACTATGTCAATCAAACGACCTGGATTGCTCGAACGGTGAGTACTCAATATATTTAGCGTGCAATTAATATCATACTAAATAAAAATGTATATGCTAATTATATAATTAAAATGTACCCGATATCCTACCTAATATATACATGCAATTAACATGTAACTGATATCCTACCTAATATAAATGTGTAATTAATTTCCTCCCCAATATTAACATATGCATTTATTAGTTTGGTTTTTTTTTCCGAAAAACTTCTGATCTATTCATCTTCTACTAGCACGAACACTAGTAGAAATAATAAAAATTACATCTAGATTTGTATTCTACCTAGCGATAACTACATGCACTGAAGCAAACCGAAGACGTGCTGTCGTCATAGCCACTCCCACGCATTTACTAGTTTGATTTAAAAAAAAGGAATTATTTTTCAAAAGTTAACAATTTTCAGAAAATGAGATTGTTCGAAGTAAAAAAAAATTGAAATGTTGATTTCTTGGAAAAAAATTGAACGTTTTAAAATTTTCCAAATATCTTTTGAAATATCCAAACTTTTCTTAAAACACAAACATTTTTTAAGATCTGACTATTTTTACAAAATGTGAACATTTTTAGTAAATCACTAACTTTAAAAAAAATTGTAAACAGTTTTTAAAAATTCCAAGAGCAATTTTTGGAAAAGAAATAAAAAAATAAAAAAATAAAGACAAGAAAAAAAATTGAAAACCGTGAGGAAAACAAACACAAAAAGGGAAAAGGACGTTATGGGATTTGAACCTTCTACAGAGTTTCCAACATTAATTGTTAAAAAAACCCTGAAAAGAAGCTTTAGAAAGGTTACGAATGGAAGTTTCCAAAATTCAGGCCTTATAAATAGGAACAGAGGGAGTTATACCTTAGTATATCTCAATCAAATCTGCACTTATATCTGGTGAACCGTGCATTGAATGGTTGCCTCCAACAAAGAATCAAAATCCAGCTGGCACAATAATTTCCTCTAGCCCATTCACCTATAAATAGCCCACCATTTGCTACTAAATCAACACAATCTGAGGAGTATAAATCAACACAATCTGAAGACGGCGTATCTGCTTGCAATCTGAGGACACTAGCATGGAGATCAAGCCAGCGGTGATCCTTGTGGCCTGTTTGTTATTCGGCATCAGCAACAGAGGTACGGTGTTCTGCTTCTGCATAGCAAAACAATCACCAAAAACTTGCAAGCAATCTACGATCAGATTATCTCTAGGTCCATCTAGGCACTTTTTAATTTCTTTTTCATCGTGTGTTTAAGCAGGCAGTGCAGCAGGGTGCAGAACGTCAGATATTTTTGTCACCACAGAGGCCTACCCGGATCCGGGAGGAAGGCTAGTGCAGTACGTGACACTGGTGAACAACTGCGCCAGGTGCACGCAGAAGAACGTAAAGCTGGCGTGCCCGGGGTTCAGCTCTTCCATCGAGGTCTACCCGGACACTGCCATCAAGCCGGATGGCGACGGCAAGCTCTGCACCCTCTACGCCGGCCGCCCGGTTGGGCCTAAAGAGAATGTCTTCTTCAACTACGTGCCCGTCTCCTCCACCATTGTTTGTTAGATAATGTTGATCATGGACTCACAAATATGTTTCCATAGTGACTGAAAGATAGGACATCTCTATCATTCAGGTAATAAAAGATTTGGAGTGTCTGTTTTTAAAAAAAAAAAGGATTTGAAGTCTGATTGGAACTGTTGAAGGGGCCAAAATCTCTGTGCGACACGTTTTGATTTTCCCCTCTCCCGTCTTGGTTTTTTTTCCACTGTTTTCCTGAAAACATCTTTACTACCCTACGTCTTATATTGACGTAGACCAAATAAAATCTTTCCTTTGATTGACAAGTTGATTGATAAGCCAAGAATTGATTACCAAATAAATCCTTATTTCCCATTTCCTTTAGTAAGACAATAAGTGATTATCAAATAAAATCATATTTCATATTAACAATAAATTGGTTTTTCTTAACGCGGGCGGGCCATGAGTTGGTGGCTTGCCAGTTTGGCTGCCATGGCAGCGATCGCGTTGATGCCGGTTTGGCTGCCATGGTGCCTTTGGTCGATGCAGCCATGGTGATAGTCCTTCCCAACAATGTTATAACGATGAGTGTCATCCTGGCATGCTCTTTGATGGGCAACTCAGGTCCTTCAGTTTCAGTTGGACAGAAACAACAGATTGTATGTGGATGGGAATTGGGATTGCCAAAAATTATTAAATGTGAATCACTTAGGTTCTGTGTATGTGAACCTTGTATATTGTAATCTGAGAAGTGTGAATCAACAGCACGCCCTTCCAAGACTACAATGACCTACGACTACGAGTCACAATGAACATGAGAAGTGACACTTGAACAGTGACCTTGCAGGTGAACTGAACAAAAGAGATGCCAAACTGAACAATGTCAGTTGTTGCCCAGAACTGAACTTGCCCAACAATGCCAAAGATGGCTCTGGATGTAGTTCTTTTTTACATCAGACGGTCTGGTTCCAAGCAGAGGGACTGTGTGCTCTATGCTGATGTTCTAGCCACTCTTATCCCCATCTATAACAACAAGAACAACAAAAACCACACCAAAAGCCCTTAACTACACGCAGGGGCATAATAATTGGGCATGTGGGCAAAGACGATGGACAGAGGCGCAATGGCAATGGGCTGCGCTGCATGCACAATGATGGGCTCCATCCTAGGGATGTTCCCGTCCGCATCGGTGGTCAAGGCCCTTCCGTTGAGCAGCATCACCTGGCTGTGAATGTCGCCACCTTCAGGGAGGAGGTGGTACTCCTCCCTCGTGACTCCAGACGCGTCAACTACAAGCAGCTCCTCACTTGTCAAGGACACATCGTTCCTGGCGTTGCCGTGCAGGTTCATCAACAACAAACTGATGCCTGACTGAAAAAACACGGAAAGAGGAAGGTTAGTCGACGAGAGTATGGTGATGAACATGCAATGTGCTTACCGAGTTCTTCGCACAATGTGCGTAGGCACGGATCAGGTTGGTGGTGCCGCTGAATTTGGCATCTAGAACTTTGGTTCCCATCAGGCGATGCCATAGTAGCGCACTGCAGAGGAAATAGGAAGAAGAAATGTCATTAGCCCCCTCTTTGATTCTGCAAGTCCATGTGTCATTAGCCAAGTAAACACACTTTCTTTGATTCTGCAAGTCCATATGTCATTAGCCACTATTTGCATTGCAAGTTACGTTAAGTACTCTAGTCATTAGCCACATTTTTGTGTGTCAAAATGCAGAGGAAGAGCAAGACAAAACAGAATAAATTCTCTACAGTGAGAGGATGGAAGGATATGTCATGTACAGGAAGAAATTCAAGACATAGCTACTAACTTTTTCTCCAAATTGTTTTCTGGTCAGGAGAACCTGCAACCAGATGAAGTGATAAAATATGTGCAACCAAAAGTAACAAATGGTATAAATGAGCACTTATGTAAACCGTTTACTTCAGAAGAAGTTGAGAAGGCACTATTTATGATGAAACCAAATAAATCACCAGGCCCAGATGGTTTTACAGCAGGATTTTTTTCAAAACCATTGGGAACTGATAAAGATTGATGTTTGCAATGCAGTTTTGAAGTTCTTGCTTTACAGCAGGATTTTGTTCAAAACCATTGGGAACTGATAAAGATTGATGTTTGCAATGCAGTGTTGAAGTTCTTGCAGAATGGTGAAATGCCAGAGGGCCTAAACAAAACAATTTTGGTGCTTGTTCCAAAGGTAAATCATCCCCAGAATTTATCTCAGTGCCGACCAATAGCTTTATGCAACGTTTTATATATAATTTGTTCAAAAGTCTTGGCAAATAGGCTTAAATTAATCTTGGATGAAATAATTTCAGAGGAACAAAGTGCTTTTGTGCCTTCGCATTTAATTACTGATAAGGTTATTACAGCTTATAAATGCATTCATTACATTCGAAATAAGAAAGGTAAAACTGGAGCAAGTGCCATTAAATTAGATACTATGACTAAAGCATATGCCCATACTGAATAGACATACCTTAAAAGGATAATGCAAAAACTGGGCTTTCATGATTACTGGATTAATTTGACAAGGAAATATGTTGAAACAGTAAGCTTCTCGGTTAAGGTGAATGGTCGTTTATCGAAACCCTTTAGAGCAGCAACAGGATTAAGGCAAGGGGATCCCATTTCTCCTTACCTGTTCCTGATTTGTGCAGAAGGTTTAACAAGCTTACTAAACAAAGCAAAATCAGCAATCTTCTTCAGCCCAAACAGTAGTGAAGAGACGAAAGAAGAGATAAGAAAATTATGGAAATACAAACAGAAGCTCTAGAGGAGAAATATCTGGGACTACCTACGGCCCTAGGAAGAAGAATGACATGGGCCTTTGAAAAGCTAACTACAAGATTGAGTAACTTAGCGGGTGGATGGTCAGAGAAAATGTTAAATTCTGCAGGTCGTGAAGTTCTAATTAAAGCGGTCATGCAAGCAATACCCACGTATGGAGTGGCTGGGAAATACTCCCATAGCGTGAATTTTATGAAAGCAAAGAAGAAGAATAGCTCACATGTTTGGCAAGCTATCTTAAAAGGGAGAGCAGCACTTCACTTAGGCCTGATCAAGAGAATTAGAGATGGCATGTCTACCAATATATGGGAAGATAAATGGATTCCGACAATTCCAGGAGGGAAACCAATGTACAGGAGAGAAGGAACAAATGTCTTCATGTATCGGATGTTCTGAATGCAGAAAGGACTGAGTGAGATTTTAACAAAGTGAATAACAGTCTGCTGCCTATAGATGCAAAAGAGGTTTTTTCTAGCAAGTTAGTAGTATGGGCCGAGCTTGCTCAACAAATATAGAAGAAAAGGATCGAGGATTATCAAGGAAAATCCAAAATACTCTAATGCAGCCCATAGTAACAGCAGTATACCATACCTGTAGTAGTCAGGGTTTGGTTGGAATGTTGTTGTGTTGAGCAGGTCATAGTTGCCACCAATGAAGCTCTGCCTGCAGTAAGTCTTTGTGTTGTACTTCGCTGACATGCCAAGTTGGTCCAGGTACCTGAAAATACAACCCCATGAGAACAACCTCACCAAGAAGAACCAGATAGTTTTACAGTTCAGTGTCCCACATTACCAGAAGCTGAACACAAACGCGTCAGTGACAAGGTGGTGGCCACTGTTGTAAGCCCCTCCAGCCTCGCCGACCCACGCGACGACCGACGACCCTGCGGTTTTCAGCAACTCCTGGAGATCACTGAATTGTCTCGCCACCCCGTCGAGGTAAGAGGGGTTGAGGATCCTCTTGACGAGGCCGGTCTCTACTCCTGCGTTCATTCAATGTTTAGCAGATTTTGTTCAGGTCCTGCCGTCCTGGTTCATGTATCGGACAATGTTGCATCGTTAGGCTGTATGCAGTGAGCTTTACATACCTGCCCCCAGATTGTAGATGTGGTGGCTGACCACACTGACGGTATCTGGACTGGTTTTGGTGATGAACTCACTGAACCAGTCTTTGTCGAAGAAGCTTCCCGGAGCGAGCAGCAGCGGCTTCGATGGGCTGTCCTCGTAAGTATCTTCGACGACCCATTTCAGAAAGGTCACGTCTTTAGCATATTGGTCAGCCGCGATCAAGGTGCCGACTGCCTTGCCTCCGAGCTCATTTCCTGCACTTTTTCAATAAGATGTGTCAGCTGACTGAAATTTCATCCCGGTTAAGAGTACCAAGAGAAATGGCGTAGACAGATCATACCGAGCTCCCAACCATGGATGTCGTAGCCCTTACTGACGGTGTACTCGATGAACGATGCTGCATTTGTCATGTCCCAGTTCCCTCCCATATAAGACTTGCCGTCCGGCTCACGGCCGTTGAGAGCGTTCATCCCGAAGACTACCTTCGCGCTGCAAGTTGAGCATCAGAATATTACATATGAGCATCTGAATTTCTGGTGATTAATATGCCTGAGTATCCCCTGACCCAAGACTCCTGAGACTAATATGCCTGGGTATCTGAATTTCTGGTGGCAGTACAGTATGGGAGGATATCCATCAGAACGATGTGCCATGTACAATACACCAAGACTACATACATTTTCTCCAACACGAGTACTAGTACTACATTGATCTGAAAAAGCATCGAAATTTACCAGAGAACTAACGGCCATGGAGAACCCAGGATGCGGGGTGAGTGGCTTGCCACGAGCGGGGATCTCGTGGTGGCCATGGTCGGGGGGCGGCGCCTCTCCGGTGGCCATGGAGGAGGTGCACGGCGAAGCTGCGGCGGCTATGGCGGGGCGGTGGAAGGTGGTGGAGCGGGAGGACGCGTGTGGGTGGATCTTGCGGCGGCGCTCAGCCTCAGGGTGCTCTGCTCGCCCTGATCCCCACTGCTGTACCGTCTTTTTTTTAATGAGACAAGCGGCTCGGTGGAGTCCTCCTATACGGCCCAGCACGCACATGGGCCGGCCCAGAAGGGCGCGAACATTTTTCCAATTTGATGAACAAATTTGAATTTTGATGAACATTTTTTAAATTCGATGAACAAAAAATGAATTTGATGAACATATTTTTACATTTAAAAACATTATTTTACATTGATGAACATTGTTTGAATTAAAAACTGTTCAACAATTTAAAAATCAAATCACAAAAAAAAAAGTAAAAAAGTACGTAATTTCAAAAAAAACTGTTCATGATTTCAAAAAACTGTTCACAATTACAAAATATGTTCATGTGCTTTTAAAAATATGTTAGCAAGTTGAAAACGAAAAAGAAAAATAAAACAGAAAAAATCACGAATTTAAAAGATTTTCGGAAATTTAAAAAAGAAAAGAAAGAAAAACAGAAAAATAAAAGAATAAAAACATAAAAAGGAAAGGAAAATTTTGAAAGGAAAACAGAAAAATGAACAAAAAATAAATAAAAAGAAAACCGAAAATAAAAAAACAGAAAAAACCGGTTCAGCCAAAACCGGTTAGGGTGAATTCCGTTAATGGGCCGGCCCAGAGAAACTCCAGCGCGCGCTACCGTGCCGGTTCGGTGTGACAAGGCGTGGGGGGGATGTCGCGGGTGCCGCGGGTCGGCGCACATAAATTTTTTACCGTTGGGACAGCCCACATCGAAGACGATTTATGTGGACTTCGATTTGGGCGCCGGGGGCAGCCCACATCCACCCGCGGCCTGCCTCGTAATCCAAGGGCCAAGGCTTAAAAAAAAGGACGTGAAGATTTTTCTGTTCCTCAAAGAAAAAACCGTGAAGATTTTTCTAAAAAAAAACACACGTGAAGATAGGCTTTACTTCCTCTCTTTTTTTCGGCTTGTAATAATCGAAGGGGGGAAAGGTGACGAGTCGTGGAAGCTAGGGGCTTAATTTGGGAGTGTGTGATTCAGCATTCAGGTCAAGGGATCTTGCACCAGGAAGACAGGAATCGATCGCATGATGCCTACTATTTAGTTTGCGGGCTGAGAGGATGAGAGACGTACCCAGATTTCTGGAAGAAGGCGTTGAGGGGCCGGCCCTGAGGGGGGGCAGGGGGGGGCGGCCGCCCCGGGCCCCCGAAATCCAGGGGCCCCCTCCCAGGTTGCAGGTAGCCCATGGCCCAAGTCGCAAATAGCCCACGTCCTCATTTATTCCTTCTTCCGATCGTGAGTTCGCCCGCGTTTTCACGATCCTATTTCTCCGGGGGCCCCGATCGCAATTCGCGAGTCGCGCCGCCGAAGTAAATCCGGTCGCCACCATGCGCCTGGACGATGTTCTTCGAAGTCCCCTTCCACTCGCCGCCATGCACAGCCGTCGAAGTTTATCTCTGTCCGCTAGATGCCTCTGAATCTCTGATGTGCAAGACAAGCCGCCCATCTATAAGGTAATCCATAATCGGTTCTGAACTTCCAAGTCTACGCCTCCCCTTCCATTCTTTTTCCCTTTCTGTTTGTTCACGTTTCTATGGTGCAGTATATAATAGCTAAGCTCTTAATTATGTGGGTTCGCATGTGTAATGTGTTGTAGTGCAGAATTTTGAGTCCATGTGCCCGCTCCACTGATTCATTTGCTCTTCATGTTGCACTGTTCTTTGTTTGACTATTTCTTACTTTTGTTTGGACTTTGCCGGGACGATACTCAGCCTTTCTTGTTGATTGCAAGTTCAGTTAGAATTGGAAGATGGACTCGGCTATTCTTACACGCATAGCTTCAATCCAAATATGGTTATATAAAAAGCCCACTCATACTCCCGTAGAAATCAGGTAAAAGGTCTGTGTTGCTGCCAATGAAGCTTCAAAACCTTAAAACTTCAGCATAATAATTCAAACCTTCGAACATCAAACCTTTAATCAGTGCTATTTCTATCCTATTCAGCACTTTCTCTAGTTAACTCATTCTGCTACTGAATCCTTAGTTGAAATTTTCTTATTATTATGAAACAAGATGATAATAATTTGCTAAGAAACCTTGGAGGCGTCGTCTTGGCCATGTCCGTACCCTGCCCGGGCACCAGGGGAAACCTTAGGCTGGCTCGCTAGCCAGGCAGCAACGGTGCAGCAGCGTCGCGTCTCCCTTGGAGGTGTTGCCGGGGGGCCATGGAGGCCACCAGAATTGTTGCTGGAGGTGGTGGCTTCGTCGATACTTCATCGAGGATTGGGGCATTGTGCTGTTGGTGATGGTGGCTGCTGTGTGCATGGGTTCTTGGGGCGCAATGTACGCCACCACCAGTTTCCCTTGGACGACACCGACTCCTGGACGTGAAGGGTGGAGAGTGCGTTGACCTAGCCTGTGATGTAGTTGCGGTTGTGCTTCTAGGTTTCTGGTGTTGGTCGAGATGCGGCCCTTGATCTGTGAGTCTCGCCTCCTTGCCATTGTGGCTTGATGTTCGACTAGGCGAGTTTGGTCGTTGTAGTCGTGGTGTGTGTTCTGTTCGCCAAAAGGCGTTGTATCAGCTTGGCCCTTCTTCTATGCTATTGATGCACCTCTCCATGGTGTATCCTTGAAAAAAAAATTGCTAAAAAACGAATCTATACAAAGATGAGATTACTATTTTGAGGCCTAACAAAACAAGGGCCCCGAGTCCTAGTTTCGCCCCGGGCCCCCGAAATACCAGGACCGGCCCTGCGTTGAGCTCGTCCCAGCGGGCCATGGTCAGGCACCCGCGAGTGAAGCCGAACACCGCCGACTCGCTCTTGGTGAAAGGCACGCACGACAGCCGCCCGTCGCCCGGGGTGTGGTAGATCACCTTGTCCTGCAGCGTGCCGCCCAGCCGGAGCACCAGCGGCGAGAAGGCTGCAAAAGAGGAATGCAGCTCGATCGGTGAGCTGCTGCCGCGCGCTGCTAGACCGTGGGTGGGTCGGATGGACATGGATCATGGACGGTCGATCGCCTACGTACCTCTGACGGCGTTGAGCAGGATTCCGTTGGAGAGGTCCTGCGGCAGATGATCGGGTTGAGAACGACAGGACAATGCGGTCAGCGCGCCGGCCGGCGGTGAGCAGAGGGGAAAGGAGAGGGGACGTGGATTTTTAGAGCATATGCACCCAGGCCCTCCTATCCTAACTCTTCAATATTGCTTTAAGATCCGTGCGACACAACTAAGTTTCTATATGAAATTTTCTCTTTTTTGCTTTTCCCACATAGAACATATCTTAAAGTTCAAACCTATGCAGGATGGCAAATCTTTCTAACTAGAATCTAGGATAAATCTTTCAGAATTTTTTGTCCGACATAAATATTAAAAATATGATTTTTTTAATCAAACAAAACGTATTTTGTATATTTATGTTTGACAAAAAAATCTGTACGATTTATCCTAGATTCTACTCAGAAAGCTTTGTCACACCGCATAGGTTTGAACTTCAAGATATATTCTATGTGGGAGAAACAAAAAAGAGAAATATATTTGCACGAATCTTAAAGCAAAAAATGGATGACTAGATAGAGAAGGCCTGGGTGCATATGTTCTAAAATATATTTTCGGAAAGGAGAGGGGGCGCGGGGCGTAGTCGCACTTGTCCGGCGGCCACCAGTCGAGCGTGGCGCAGACGAAGAAGTCGCCGGTGGACGCGATGGCGACGCCGCCGTCCACCTTGACGACGCCCGACTCCGCCGCCGCCCCGAGCCGCAGCAGTGCGAAGAGGCACAGCGCCACAGCGAGCCACGCTCGGGCTCGGCGTGGGACGCCGTCGGCGAGCATCGCTACTCCGCCGCCACACGCCGAGTCGCCGCTAGCGCGCGCGGTCGAACAGGCAGAGCCCGGCCCCCAGCGGCAAGATTCAGCCAGGCCGGAGCAATGGTCGGGTGGATTTTGCAGGAGAAGACGCACTAGCTAGTACTAAATGCCACAGCCACACCCCCGCCGCTAGGGTTCCAAATCTAGTAGTCGACGAGTGGTGCGCGGAGCCATTTTTGGACTGTGCGGAGAGAGCTAGCTGGGCATCCACTCCTCACACACACTCACTCACTCACTGATCATCCGACAGCGTGGGTGCCAGGACACCACTTCGCCCACACCTCACTGCCATTTTCGCCGTTATTCTCGAGCTGCATGCTACTGCACGAAAAAAGAAAAAGGCATCGTTAGCCTCAAAACAGAAAAAAAAAACTTTCGAGTCGGCTACTACGGCCGAAAATGGACAAATCACAGCTAGAGCAAAAGTTTGCTTTGAACAAAGTTAGCTTTGAACAAAGTAGAAGACGGAGGGGCGAGGGGCGAGACGGGGACGCGAGGAGCAGCGAGGCCGACGTAAACCTGCCGTAGCACCGTCAAAAAAAGAGACCTTTTTTTTAACTGTGCGATGTGAGAAAATGCTAGCTGGTACATACATACTCCTACATTGTATCCACACTTCACTTCAGTGGATCCAACAATATGCAAGTGATGTGACTTAGATCCAAGGCATCATTTATGATATGATGCAGATTATTTTCAGGATTTCTACCAACACCAAGAACCTCGACGGGATGTGCTGCAAAGCTTCACTTGCTTTGAGGCTGAAAAAAACTATGAGTTGTCTTCCCTCAAAACTGAAGAAAACTTTGAGTTATCCATGTGGGTGAGCGAAAGATTTATTTGGCCATCTGCTGCTACGTACAAAAGATACGTACTTGCTTTGTTGAAAGCTTGACAAAGACGATCCGAGGGAGCTATAGCTGGGTACTACACAGACCACACTTCACTGGAGCTAAGATTTCCTTCTTGGGGCATAGCGTGAAATGGTGGTGGTTGGCTAATGGCTGTGGCT